TCCGTAGTTTACATCTCTCATAATATGCTCTACACTAATAAATGCTAGATCAATAGTAGGAGTATAATGCATTGCTAAAGTTACTCCTGTCGCAATTTGAATAACAAGACAAAATCCTAATAAAGATCCAAAATTCCACATATAAGAAATATTTGAAGGTTGAGGTGAATCAATTAAATAGCTATTTACAATACTTAAAAATGAATTACGTTTTAGTAATTTCATAATATTAAAATGAAATTTTAGTATAACCTTATACAAACCATTTTGACGATTCGTATAAGAATAAAATGAAATAAACAAGGATTCGAATCACAAAAGTGATTCTCCATAAATAAAATCAATGATTGAAATCAAATGATAAAGTTTATTCCATTCGAACTTTACATACATGATAAAAACATCATTCTGTATATAAACAGATTCTAAATATAAACAATTTATACTTTTGTTATACTAGAAATGGGTATTTAGAAAAATTTCATTGACATAAAATTTCTTATCCAAACATAATTTACACTACGTAAGGATTCATTCATTTTTTATTCAGGATACAATTTAAACTCAAATCTTCCTTATGTAAACTTAGTATACTAAGTATACAGTACTGACAGAGCCAGATATTCATTTTAGAAAATTGATTTCTATCCTGAATCTTTCATAGAAATTCGAGATTCAAAAAATCGATTGATTGAAAGAAATGATTCTTTTAAGAAGAATTCCGAGCACAATGCTCCGGATATATTAATAACTTATATTCATCATATAAGTTTATAGAGAATCTATTCCCCGGACCACAGGGCTCCAGGCCTTTCGGACTGGAGTACCAGCCCGGGAACTAAATCTAAATGAATTTCTTCAGAAAGATATCTCCCTTAGTTCCCGGTCCCGACAGGGCCGGGGACCAGGGACGAGTGGAAGTTTATTTGATTCATTATTTAAAAGAATTGAAACGTTTCTACGCAGAACTATTGAACATAACCAAATCATTAATCTTACTTATACCTTATTTCGAACGTAATTACCCTAATGAATCAATTATAACCCCTTGATTTAATCCTAATCGAGCCCCAGATAGACTACCCTCGAGTCCAGGCCCCTCGGACTGGAGTCCTAGCTCGGTGACTAAATTAAATAAAAGAAAGATAAACAATAGATCCCCAGAGCACAAGGCTTTAGGACCCTCGGACTGGAGTTCCAACCTGGGGGCTAATTTTAGGTATTGAATAGAGGTCATTCAATTTATCAAATAGTTCCCTATATAAAATAAAAGAAGTGAATCTCTTAAGCCCTGGTCCTTATAGGGCCGGGGACCAGGGATGAAAATGAAACTTAGCCGCCGGACTCAGACCGGCGGAGAATGGATAGATGCCCGAATCGGTAAGGAAGTAGTTTGCTAAACTATAGGATATTTTATCCTTGTGGGTTCAAGTCCCGCTCTATCCAATAATATAGAATTTTTTTTGGGAGCACAGAGCTCCAGATCACTCAAGGTCCCAGTATAGAGTCTAAATTTAGAGAAAATTGATAAACCTTTTGGGTAAAATAAAGGGTCTTAATTAATAGACAAATAAAGTGAAATTCATTCTCTATCCCGAGGAGAATCCTTAGGGGACTCGATTGGATCCGATTTAATTAGACGGAGCAGACCGAATTCGAATCGGTACCTTCTTACGTGACAAGCAAGGACTCTACCAGTTAAGCTACTGCTCCTTAAAATAATTTTCCGCTGAGACGGGCTACCGGTCTGAGCCCGGCGGCTATTTATATAAAATGAGGAGTAGAAGACTTGAACTTCTAACCATTAATGTGTAAGATTAACGCTCTACCAATTGAGCTAACTCCTCTAACCTATTGCCTATAAAGGTCAGATTCAATAAACATTTTGAATGTCTATCTATTTCTTATATTTGTAGGATTCATTATGGATCTTGTCCTCCGCCGGGGCGGGCCACCGGTCTGAGTCCGGCGGCTAAGAAAATATCTACCCCGCGGAGGCAACGTATGTTGCCCGCGGGGGGGAAGGTAAGTTTCATAACTGAAAAATGGGTGAAAACCCGGGATCGAACCGGGAACCGTTAGTACCACAAACTAACGCTCTACCAATTGAGCTATTTCCACCGTAGAATTTCATTCTGAATCCTTCTATTAAGCCCTCAGTCCTTATAAAACCAGAAATCAAGGATGAGTATAATAACTTATTCTAAATAACGTTTCAGAGGACTTGAACCTCTACCAACAAGAGTCGAAATCCTGTGCTCTATCCATTAAGCTAGAAACGCGTAGCCACGCGTTTCCGGTGAACTCTATAAAATAGTGTTCGCTAGAAACGCTTTTTCTTAAAGAAAAAGACGTTTCCGGAAAAGATCAACAAAGTTGAGTTTTCTAGAAACGCTCACATGTGAGCGTTTC